AGCACTGCAGTGGCTGATTGAATGCCGGTTTAACAGAAACCGATAAACCGATTGTTAGACCAGCTTCTGTTGGAGAGGTACACACAGATCAAAATTCGATGAATCGGGCAAATTTCAATACGTGTATACCCTTAGTTCCTCTAATTCAGGGCACACTGTGAGCTTCTCACATTGTGGTTTGGAAGGTGCAGCAAGTCATATATAACCCTCCATCCCAAATCATTTAGTCTTTTCTTCCCCGGCCTTACTGTTCCTGGCCCGCCCCTTTCATTCATTCATTGGATTTCTTTTCATTCAGTCATGGAGGTTCAGTGTTACATTGCCTAGGGAAGGTTGCATGCAAGTCTATCCAGCCAAGAAATGAGGTGTGTGCTATCTGAACTTGCTGCAGCTTCTAATGTACAATGTGAGGCGCTCACAGTGTGCAGTAAAATCAAAGTAAGCAATATCAGTACAGAAGAGGCGCCAGTACAACTGTGCAAGACTAAAGGGAAGGCTTCATCTTTCAGAGCCCATTTCATTTTGCTTTCTGTTCCTGTTTGTGGTTTCATCTAGTTTGTATTCGTTGCTCTGTCTTACGAGGGACATTTATTAAACTCCATACTATTGTGAGCTGTTATTACTGCAGTAGGAATGCTTTTGATCTAGAAACAAAAATTGTCAGAGGGGTTTTCTTTCACTGGACCTTTGCCTTGAGTTCATTACCTCTCTAACATGTCTTATTAACCTCCTTAGCGGTATTCCCGAGTGTAGCTCGGGGTAAAATTTCTATACCAAGAGCGGTAACCCCGAGCTACACTCGGGCTTACCATGCGGCGCTGCTCTGGGGGTCCCTGCAGCGCTTACCTTGTCCTTCACTCCCGCGATGTGTCCCCTGCAGCATCCCCGGCCATCTCCTCCGGCCGATGCCGGCATCCGGCTTCCGTGTTCCGGTCCCTGTGACGTCGGGACGTACGGGCGCCGGAACCGGTGGGAAATTTGACATTTTTTAAAAATGTAATTTTTGCTGTCATTGCTGTTTCAACCCATTTCACATATATTTTGTCCCCCTACTGCTTTGTCCTGTCTCCTGTCTGCATTTTGACTGTTCTTTCTGCCTGGAAACTGAGAAAAGTCCATGGTGTCCAAAAAGCGTCCCTTTACGTCAAAAGCGGTTTTAGACCGGCTAGTGAACAGCGATAGTAAATCAGAATCACTTGCAGAATTGAGTGATAATGATTCGTGGGGGAAATGCATCATCAGACACTGAAAATGATTTTGCGACTTTACTCAGTGATGTGCGAATTTGCCTCTGTATTTCAAATTTCAGTGTTTTTGGTTTGATTATATTATTGAATTAAATTTATTATTATTATATTATTATTTTTTTATGATTATTAATTAAATTATAATTTATGATTTTGTGTTTCAAATTTTATCATATCCGGGAATGTTTACTAGACTCTTGTTCGGACAGATTTCAGTGAGTTATTCCTAAAAATTACAGCCTACAATAAAAAACGACATATTTCCATGCAAAAAAACGGTACCGCTTTCAGCACAAAAAATCAGAAAGAATCATACCGCCGAGGAGGTTAAAGGACTCATTCACACTATCTACAGTGATGTGCATTTTTCTGCATTGGATAAATGTAGGTCATTGATGGGGTACATAGAAAACAATAATCTTCTGTGTATCCTGCTCACACCACAATGCTGGGGCGCGATGTGCAGTGGAGCACGTTATTTATTTCAGGTACTTATATAGCGCCGTCAATTTACGCAGTGCTTTACATGTATATTGTACATTCACATCAGTCCCTAACCCTCAAGGGGCGTACAATCTAAGGACCCTAACTCACATTCATACATACACATACTAGGGACAATTTAGGCAGGATCCAATTCACCTACCAGCATGTCTTTGGAGTGTGAGAGGAAACCGGAGTACCCTGAGGAAACCCACGCAGGCACAGGGAGAACATGCAGACTGCAGGCAGGAGGTGCCTTGGCTGGGATTCGAACCGGCGACCCAAGTACTGCCAGGCGGAAGTGCTAACCATTTTGCCACTGTGCTGCCCCAGTATTTAAAAAAGAAAAAAACGCACTGGACTGCATCTAATGTGAACTAGCCCTTAGCCCTGGTTCACATATATGCGGCTGTGCAGGCCGCGTATTTTGCAAAGGCACGAGAGACCATTCATTTGAATGGACTCCCGTGCCCCGTGACACGCAGTGAAGAAGTCCCTGCACTTCTTTGGAAACTGCAACCCGCACGTGAACCTCGGTTCCCAGTGCGGTTGCGATTTCCAGTGCGGGCGGAGTGCCATTAGAATTAATGGCACCAGCCCGCTGGGCCACATTCTTCCCGCACATATGTGAACCGAGCCTTAAAGTGAATATTGCTGCGTTTTTATTTTATCTTGTTTTGTCTGGTCGAAAACTAATGTTGATTTCAACCCATTAATGATTAGAAAATTGACCAAACGTTCTTCAAAATTAACATTTTTGTTAGAAAATCTGCTATTATATACCCAGTTTTAGGAGACAGGCACACAGTATTCTCACCTCATGATGGAAGTGCCTGAGTATAGAACTTCATGGCAGGATCAACAGTTATTATTTTCAGAAAAAAAAACCTTAAGATTGAGAACTACTTTTGAAATAACTTTAACATGTCAAAGCATATATGAGATTATAGTGATTCCATTTATGTCTACCTTTAAGGATTTCAAACAAAGCTTGTCTGAGGAATAATTTGACAGCAATGGGGAGGGGGAGGTGTGCGTTATTGACTTCTCAGCCTTTGAATCCCTTTTTCTTTTTTCATGGGATAAACCTGTAAGTTAAAAATCATGGCTGAGACGCTTCATTACCCGGACTTCACCAAATCCCCCTGTTTTGAAGTCATCCTGTAAAATCTTGTCATGGCATTGCAGCCCATCCTTCATGTTTGAGGAAGATGGTTGGCTTTAACGAGCCCTTCACACCATTAATCCCTTTACTAAAGTATATCTTTGTGTGCTAGACTGGAGGTGCACCAAAAGTGGCAGGCCGGCGCTGGTGCAAGCAAAAGCAGTTTTTTTTACACTTTGCATGGTGTCATCAGACTTGAAATTTTATATTTTTGTGTGCAGAATTAAAAAAAAAAAAAAAAAATTTCTTTAAATACCCCGTGGCATGTGTGAATTTTGTTAAATCAGCAATCTATACTAATGCACCTAAATTAAAGTGCCGTATTTTTCGCTCCATAAGACGCACCTAGGTTTTAGAGGCAGAAAACAGGAAAAAAAAATTCTGAACTAATGGACTGCAGACATAGTACAGGAGATGACCAGAGACTGTGGACATAGTACAGGAGATGACCAGAGACTGCGGACATAGTACAGGAGATGACCAGAGACTGCGGACATAGTACAGGAGATGACCAGAGACTGCAGACATAGTACAGGGGATGACCAGAGACTGCGGACACAGTACAGGAGATGACCAGAGACTGCGGACACAGTACAGGAGATGACCAGAGACTGCGGACACAGTACAGGAGATGACCGGAGACTGCGGACACAGTACAGGAGATGACCAGAGACTGCGGACACAGTACAGGAGATGACCAGAGACTGCGGACACAGTACAGGAGATGACCAGAGACTGCGGACACAGTACAGGAGATGACCAGAGACTGCGGACACAGTACAGGAGATGACCAGAGACTGCGGACACAGTACAGGAGATGACCAGAGACTGCGGACACAGTACAGGAGATGACCAGAGACTGCGGACACAGTACAGGAGATGACCAGAGACTGCGGACACAGTACAGGAGATGACCAGAGACTGCGGACACAGTACAGGAGATGACCAGAGACTGCGGACACAGTACAGGAGATGACCAGAGACTGCGGACACAGTACAGGAGATGACCAGGAGACTGCGGACACAGTACAGGAGATGACCAGAGACTGCGGACACAGTACAGGAGATGACCAGAGACTGTGGACACAGTACAGGAGATGACACAGTACAGGGATGACCAGAGACTGTGGACATAGTACAGGAGATGACCAGAGACTGCGGACACAGTACAGGAGATGACCAGAGACTGCGGACACAGTACAGGAGATGACCAGAGACTGCGGACACAGTACAGGAGATGACCAGAGACTGCGGACACAGTACAGGAGATGACCGGAGACTGCGGACACAGTACAGGAGATGACCGGAGACTGCGGACACAGTACAGGAGATGACCGGAGACTGCGGACACAGTACAGGAGATGACCGGAGACTGCTGCGGACACAGTACAGGAGATGACCGGAGACTGCGGACACAGTACAGGAGATGACCGGAGACTGCGGACACAGTACAGGAGATGACCGGAGACTGCGGACACAGTACAGGAGATGACCGGAGACTGCGGACACAGTACAGGAGATGACCGGAGACTGCGGACACAGTACAGGAGATGACGGAGACTGCGGACACAGTACAGGAGATGACCGGAGACTGCGGACACAGTACAGGAGATGACGGAGACTGCGGACACAGTACAGGAGATGACCGGAGACTGCGGACACAGTACAGGAGATGACCGGAGACTGCGGACACAGTACAGGAGGAGATGACCGGAGACTGCGGACACAGTACAGGAGATGACCGGAGACTGCGGACACAGTACAGGAGATGACCGGAGACTGCGGACACAGTACAGGAGATGACCGGAGACTGCGGACACAGTACAGGAGATGACCAGAGACTGCGGACACAGTACAGGAGATGACTGCTGACCAGACCGGGCCCGATCGGCTCTGCAGCGGGACCTTATGGAGATGACTGCTGACCTTTGGGGAGGGGGGGGGGTGGGCGGGTACCTGAATTTGACAGATACCCGCTCTTACTTCCGCGGAGTTGTTCTTTGATCTTACCCGTTCCTCTATCCAGCCGCACGCTGTCTTCCCGGCTTCTGTAGTGTCGGCGCTCGGCATGACAGCCGGGTGCCCAGTGCGCATGAGCGAGAAGCACTTGTGCTTTGTGATTGGTCCGGCGGCTTCTGGGATCTGTCATGTGTCCCAGGTACCACCTTACCATTCACAAAAAGCACCGCTGCTTGCGCATGCGCACTTGGCACCCGGCTGTCAAGCCCAGCACCCACACTACAGAAGCCGGGAAGACCGCGTGCCGCTGAATAGAGGAACAGGCAAGGTCAAGGAACAACTCCGCGGAAGTAAGTAAAGCGGGTACCTGTCAAATTCAGGTACCCGCTCCCCACCTCCCCAAAGGTCAGCAGTCATCTCCATAAGGTCCCGCTGCAGAGCTGAGCGGCCAGCCCGGTATTCTGACATGGCGGCGTATTCTGAAATACCGGACCGGCCGCTCTATATTCGCTCCATAAGACGCACTGACATTTTTCCCCCCCTTTTTTGGGGGGAAAAAAGTGCGTCTTATGGAGCGAAAAATACTGGTATATGCAAACTAAGGTTAATCTCTGTCCCAATGTCCCAGAAACAGCCCTTTTAATCCCTGGGAAACTGCATCTTTTTGGATTGACACTTGTGCATTGCGTCTTTTGAGTTGGTACCTGTTTTACTGTATGCTGCTGGGAGTGCTAAGGGATGATGCCATAGACGCCTGTAGTACCCAATCTGTTATACTCTCCCCATTGTCTGTCCATTCTGTTTGACTGGGAAAGAGAAGGGGGCGAGGGTGATAGAGGGATGCCAGACTTTCAAGTGGCACCATGACACACCAAGCACAACTAGTGAGCCACCAAGCCAAAGGGGAAAGTATTTTAAATACACTGTAGCTGCACTTGTTACAATGCATCCTGTGCGATACTTGCTCCTGACCTCTGTGTGTTTTTCTGCGTTACTTACTCCTCACCTCACTGTTGACCAGACCTCTGCGCTCTCTGCATTTCTTACTTTTGACCTGATCTCTCTGATACTTAATCCTGACCTGCTCTCTTTGCCATTATTTACTGCTAATCTCTGCTCTCTCTGCGTTACTTACTCCTGACCTGATCTCTGCTCTCTCTGCGTTACTCCTGACCTCTGCTCTCTCTGCGTTACTTTTACTCCTGACCTCTGCTCTCTCTGCATTACTCCCTGACCTCTGCTCTCTCTGCGTTACTCCTGACCTCTGCTCTCTCTGCATTACTCCTGACCAGACCTCTGCTCTCTCTGCATTTACTCCTCACCTCTGCTCTCTCTGCTTTACTCCTGACCTCTGCTCTCTCTGCGTTACTCCTGACCTCTGCTCTCTCTCTGCGTTACTCCTGACCTCTGCTCTCTCTGCGTTACTCCTGACCTCTGCTCTCTTTGCGTTACTCCTGACCTGACCTCTCTCTCTCTGCGTTACTCCTGACCTGACCTCTGCTCTCTCTGCGTTACTCCTGACCTCTGCTCTCTCTGCGTTACTCCTGACCCTCTGCTCTCTGCGTTACTCCTGGCCTGACCTCTGCTCTCTCTGCGTTACTCCTGGCCTGACCTCTGCTCTCTCTGCGTTACTCCTGGCCTGACCTCTGCTCTCTCTCTGCGTTACTACCTGGCCTGACCTCTGCTCTCTCTGCGTTACTCCTGGCCTGACCTCTGCTCTCTCTGCGTTACTCCTGACCTGACCCCTGCTCTCTCTGCGTTACTCCTGACCTGACCCCTGCTCTCTCTGCGTTACTCCTGACCTGACCCCTGCTCTCTCTCTGCGTTACTCCTGACCTGACCCCTGCTCTCTGCGTTACTCTCCTGACCTGACCTCTGCTCTCTCTGCGTTACTCCTGACCTGACCTCTGCTCTCTCTGCGTTACTCCTGACCTGACCTCTGCTCTCTCTGCGTTACTCCTGACCTCTGCTCTCTCTGCATCATTACTCCTGACCTGACCCTCTGCTCTCTCTGCGTTACTCCTGACCTCTGCTCTCTCTCTGCGTTACTCCTGACCTCTGCTCTCTCTGCGTTACTCCTGACCTCTGCTCTCTCTGCGTTACTCCTGACCTCTGCTCTCTCTGCGTTAGTCCTGACCTCTGCTCTCTCTGCGTTACTCCTGACCTCTGCTCTCTCTGCGTTACTCCTGACCTCTGCTCTCTCTGCGTTACTCCTGGCCTGACCTCTGCTCTCTCTGCGTTACTCCTGGCCTGACCTCTGCTCTCTTCGTTACTCCTGGCCTCTGCTCTCTCTGCGTTACTCCTGACCTCTGCTCTCTCATCTGCGTTACTCCTGACCTCTGCTCTCTCTGCGTTACTCCTGACCTGATCTCTGCTCTCTCTGCGTTACTCCTGACCTCTGCTCTCTCTGCGTTACTCCTGACCTCTGCTCTCCTCTGCATTACTCCTGACCTCTGCTCTCTCTGCGTTACTCCTGACCTGACCTCTGCTCTCTCTGCATTACTTACTCCTGACCAGACCTCTGCTCTCTCTGCGTTACTCCTCAACCTCTGCTCTCTCTGCATTACTTACTCCTGACCTGACCTGCTCTCTCTGCGTTACTCCTGACCTCTGCTCTCTCTGCGTTACTCCTGACCTCTGCTCTCTCTCTCTGCGTTACTCCTGACCTCTGCTCTCTCTGCGGTTACTCCTGACCTCTGCTCTCTCTGCGTTACTCCTGACCTCTGCTCTCTCTGCGTTACTCCTGACCCTCTGCTCCTCTGCTCTCCTCTGCGTTACTCCTGACCTCTGCTCTCTCTGCGTTACTCCTGACCTCTGCTCTCTCTCTGCGTTACTCCTGGCCCTGACCTCTGCTCTCTCTGCGTTACTCCTGCCTGACCTCTGCTCTCTCTGCGTTACTCCTGGCCTCTGCTCTCTCTGCGTTACTCCTGGCCTCTGCTCTCTCTGCGTTACTCCTGACCTCTGCTCTCTCTTCTGCGTTACTCCTGACCTCTGCTCTCTCTGCGTTACTCCTGACCTGATCTCTGCTCTCTCTGCGTTACTCCTGACCTCTGCTCTCTCTGCGTTACTCCTGACCTCTGCTCTCTCTCTGCGTTACTCCTGACCTCTGCTCTCTCTGCGTTACTCCTGATCTCTGCTCTCTCTGCGTTACTCCTGACCTCTGCTCTCTCTGCGTTACTCCTGACCTCTGCTCTCTCTGCGTTACTCCTGACCTCTGCTCTCTCTGCGTTACTCCTGACCTCTGCTCTCTCTGCGTTACTCCTGGCCTGACCTCTGCTCTCTCTGCGTTACTCCTGGCCTGACCTCTGCTCTCTCTGCGTTACTCCTGGCCTCTGCTCTCTCTGCGTTACTCCTGACCTCTGCTCTCTCGCCTCTGCGTTGCGTTACTCCTACCTCTGCTCTCTCTGCGTTACTCCTGACCTGATCTCTGCTCTCTCTGCGTTACTCCTGACCTCTGCTCTCTCTGCGTTACTCCTGACCTCTGCTCTCTCTGCGTTACTCCTGACCTCTGCTCTCTCTGCGTTACTCCTGACCTCTGCTCTCTCTGCATTACTTACTCCTGACCAGACCTCTGCTCTCTCTCTGCGTTACTCCTCACCTCTGCTCTCTCTGCGTTACTCCTGACCTCTGCTCTCTCTGCGTTACTCCTGACCTCTGCTCTCTCTCTGCGTTACTCCTGACCTCTGCTCTCTCTGCGTTACTCCTGACCTCTGCTCTCTTTGCATTACTCCTGACCTGACCTCTGCTCTCTCTGCGTTACTCCTGACCTGACCTCTGCTCTCTCTGCGTTACTCCTGACCCTCTGCTCTCTCTTTGCATTTACTCCTGACCTGACCTCTGCTCTCTCTGCGTTACTCCTGACCTGACCTCCTGCTCTCTCTGCGGTTACTCCTGACCCTCTGCTCTCTCTGCGTTACTCCTGACCTCTGCTCTCTGCGTTACTACCTGGCCTGACCTCTGCTCTCTCTGCGTTACTCCTGGCCTGACCTCTGCTCTCTCTGCGTTACTCCTGGCCTGACCTCTGCTCTCTCTGCGTTACTCCTGATCCTGACCCCTGCTCTCTCTGCGTTACTCTGACCTGACCCCTGCTCTCTCTGCGTTACTCCTGACCTGAACCCTGCTCTCTCTGCGTTACTCCTGACCTGACCCCTGTTCTCTGCGTACTACTCCTGACCTGAGACCTCTGCTCTCTCTGCGTTACTCCTGACCTGACCCTGCTCTCTCCTGCGTTACTCCTGACCTGAACCTCTGCTCTCTCTGCGTTACATCCTGACCTCTGCTCTCTCTGCGTTACTCCTGACCTCTGCTCTCTCTGCATGACTCCTTGACCTGACCTCTGCTGCTCTCTCTGCGTTACTCCTGACCTCTGCTCTCTCTGCGTTATACTCCTGACCTCTGGCTCTCTCTGCGTTACTCCTGACCTCTGCTCTCTCTGCGTTACTCCTGACCTCTGCTCTCTCTGCGTTACTGGCCTGAACCTCTGCTCTCTCTGCGTTACTCCTGGCCTGAAACCTCTGCTCTCTCTGCGTTACTCCTGGCCTGACCTCTGCTCTCTCTTTACTTACTCCTGAACTCTGACCTCTGCTCTCTTCTGCGTTACTCCTACCTGACCTCTCTGCTCTCGTGTCTGCGTTACACATATGACCTCTGCTCTCTGCGTATACGTTCTCCTGACCTCTGCTCTCTCTGCTTTACATACTTACTCCTGACTCTGACCGCTGTCTCTCTATCTGCCATTACTTAGTATTAAACCTGAACCTTTGCATTGCTTACTCCTGTCTCAAAAGCCCGCATGGGTTCAGGTTTTGCCAATTAGCCCCTTTAAGTCCCTCCCACTGTTACAGGAATTTGGCCAATACCAAAATTCACTACCACAACTTCACACACCACATCTTTCTTAATTGCTTACCCAAAGCATTTTGTTCTTTTATATACCTTGGATGTCTACCTCTTCTTTTAATAGTCTGATACACAATTGTTTACAGGGAATTTAAGTGGAAAAAAGGGGGAACATTGTGTGGCTGCAAGTGTAGAGGGTCGTGGTTTAAAAAGTAGGCGTGGTCAATTAGGTGTGTGCACGGATTTCATTTTTAAATCTGGTAACCTTAAAGCGGGGCTAATGCCAGCTTTTTGTCCCTTTTTAATAGTTTGTTTGGACCAAGGTAGTCCAAACGAACGCGATTACCTTCTCTAACAGGTGAAAATGTAGATAGATGACATTAATCTCCACCTCAGCCAACCAGAAGAAGCCTTCAGGGAAATACAAAACTTCCTGTGAATGTCTGAGCCCAACTTTTTTGTTGTGGGATTGAGTCTTCAATCCAGTGCCAGAACCTCACAGTGCTGTATAATTTATGTGGATGATGCTACATACATGCTTTATAAATCCCTGTATAATTAATAATACAGTGTTTTTATACTGCGTCTCTCCCAGTGGTGTCTTTCTGTTAGTGAAGGTAGTCGTTCATTTTGAGTGAAGGTGATCATTCATTTGGACCATCTTGGTCCACAACAAACTATTTTTAAAGTGA